AATGTTTAACTCTTTTACAAAACCTGAGGAATCATATGTTGAATCATCACTACATGTTTTCCAAACACGTCTATCGCTACAATGTTCAAACCAATGAAAATGTGAAAAATCCCAAGCCAACAAAGGCCAAGGGAAATGAAAACAAACCCAAGCTTGCAAAGGCTAAGGGTAACAAAAAGAGTACCACACTCCCTACTAACAAACGAGGAACCATTATGAAATGGGTACCCAAAAACCCTTAACATGTCTTGCAGGACCAGCATGTGCAACCATGGTATATGGATTCAGGTTGCTCCAGGCACATGACTGATGATAAAAGTCAACTGTCCTTCTTCATCGACAAATTTGGAGGCTCTGTTACTTTTGGAGACAACAACAAGGGTACCATCAAAGGATAGGCCAAACTCATCAAAGGCAACATCTTCATCGAAAAAGTAGCTTATGTTGAAGGTCTAAAGCATAACTTACTAAGCATAAGCCAGTTTTGCGACAAGGGTCTTGAAGTCAGATTTTGCAAGGGTTTCTTCATCATCGAAACAATGCCCGACCAAACCATCATCAAGGCGAAGAGTTAAAGGAATCTTTATCTTCTAGACTTTCACTCCTTTGTGGGACAAGACACTCTCTGCCTTGTATCCCATAAGAGCGATGAAAATTGGCTATGGCACCAGAAGTTCCCACATATAAATTTTGATGTTCTAAAGAAGTTAGCCAACAGAAGCTGGTCAAGGGGATTCTTGATCTCAACTTTGAAAAATATCATCTATGCTCAGCCTGCGAGACGGGGAAGGTGAAACAGGCCTCCCACAGAACAAAGTCAGAAACCTCCTGCTCCAAGCCCTTGGACATGATCCACATTGATCTTTGTGGGACTATATCTACACAAAGCCTCTCTGGAAAGAAGTATATCCTGGTACTACTTGATGAATATTCCAGATACACTTGAGTTGAATTCGTAAAGAAGAAATCAGACGTTCTTGAACTCCTAATAGGGGTGATGAAAAGGCTCCAAGTCCTTCTACAACGCAAACTCATCAAAGTAAGAAGTGACAATGGAACTAAATTCAGAAATGCCAGAATTGATGAATATCTCATCAGTGAAGGCATCTCCTAGAACTTTTCAGCAGCCAGAACTCCACAACAAAATGAAGTAGTGGAGAGAAGGAACATAACCCTAGTGGAAGCAACAAGGACCATGTTTGCTTCCTCGGAGTTACCTATCACCTTCCGGGCCGAAGCCGTTTCCACTACATGCTTCACCCAAAACCGATCAATCATCAATAAGAGGCACTAAAAGACTCCTTATGAAGTCATCAACCAACAAAGGCCAAATGTAAAATATTTCCATGTCTTTGGGTGCAAATGCTTTATACTCAATGATAGGGAATATCTTGGCAAGTTCGACAAAAAATCTAATGAAGGAATATTTATGGGATACTCTCAAACTGCCAAGACCTACAAAGTGTTCATCGAAAGGACAAAGATCATTATCGATAGAATGAATGTGTCCTTTGATGATTCTTCACAAATGACTTCTGGACACAACAGTTCAGGACTTGGACTATCACAAAGAGCCTCTGATTCGTCACTTGGCAAACCCAATGAATTCGAGTTAGCTCATTTATTTGAAGACATCTTCGAAGAAGAAGTAGTCTCTGGACAAGAACCTATTACAGAACCCTCTTCCAGAGCTGATGAAGAACATGAAGTATACAATGCTGAAGGTACAACTCTTTCTGAAACTCATGTTACCTCACCCTCTACTTCTTCTATGTCTTCAGAACCAGAACATCACTCTGGAGATGATCTCTTCGAGGGGGAGCAAGCAGTTCCATCAGACAATGAAGAATTACATTCTGTTGCTCTAGAACCTCAATCTTGCACCAAGTGGAAAAAAGACCATCCTCATCACCAAATCATTGGTAATCCATCATCCAATGTCAAGACGAGATCTGCCACTGCTAATGAATGCCTCTTCGGCAACTTTCTGAGTATCATCGAACCAATGAAGATTTCTAAAGCCCTACAAGATCCAAACTGGAAAGATGCCATGCAAGAAGAACTATTCCAGTTTGAAAGAAACAAAGTGTGGTCCCTCAGAAACAAGAAGGATGAAGATGGCATAGTCATAAGGAACAAAGCCATTCTTGTTGCCAAGGGTTACTTCCAGGAAGAAGGGATTGATTACGATGAAACATTTGCTCCCTTTGCAAGACTTGAAGCCATCAAAATATTCCTAGCCTATGCAGCACACAAAGGCTTCAAGGTCTATCAGATGAATGTCAAGTCTGCCTTCCTTAATGGTAAACTTCAAGAAGAAGTATATGTGCAGTAGCCCCCTGGGTTTGAAAATCCAAAGCATCCAGACTACGTCTATTTTCTGGACAAATCTCTCTATGGGTTGAAGCAAGCACCTAGGGTCTGGTATGATAAACTCTCCACTTTCTCATTGATAATGGATTCAAAAAAGGTACCATCGATACAACTCTCTTTCTCAAGAAGCATAAAGGTGATAATTAGTTGTGCAAATATATGTGGACGATATCATATTTGGTTCTACCAAGCTAAATTTTGTGAAAAATTCTCAGAGCTGATGAAAAGCAAATTTKAGATRAGTRTGATGGGAGAACTCAGTTTCTTCCTTGGTCTTCAAATAAAACAAACTTTAGAAGGAATCTTCATCAATCAGTCTATGTATGTGACTGACCTTCTAAAGAAATACTCTCTCTCTCCAATTCATCATCGATGAGAGCACCAATGGCTACAGGAGCTAAGTTATTTGTTGATCCATCAGGAAAATCTGTGTAAGTTCAAACCTACAGAGGCATGATTGGTTCACTCCTGTACTAGAGTTGACTAGTCAGCTCCGTGCAGTACTATACTCTTGAGAGGGTATGGTTTTGTATTTTGTGTGTGGAAGGACAAGACAAAACAGTCGTGCACGACAAGCTTCATTTGATCGCTGAATGCTGGAATAACACTAGAGGTCTCTTCTGCATTCACTGAGGCTTCTCCAGTCTTCACACGTATGTTGACCAAATTGTAATCACTGAATACCACTTCAGATCACGAATGCGCTAGTCACTATTCTTCAGTTTCAGTCTTCGATATTCACTGAAGGTTCGTGGGTGTGAGTTTTGTCTTCTTGAAGTATCGTTGTCGCTGTAGGATTACAATACATGTTTTAGCGATCACTAAATAGACTTAGTGATGATCGCATGAACTGAAAAATACAAAAACATAATACTTCGAAAGGTAAAAGGGATTATCATCAAATAAATGAGAGAGAGGATCAACAATCCCTGATTTGATGATGACAAAGCAACATAAAGAAAATTATCTTATGGTTTAATAGTAAGGAAATGTTACATATAAAGTGCATATCCTATTTAACTATTTTCGGATCATTTTCAGTGATACAATTTTTACTATATAAGTTTTCTTAAGTTATAAGTTCAAGAAAAATTATAAGAAGGAAAACTGAATCTGAAAGCATGTTCACTGACTAAAGATTGTCAGTGACTGTAAGAGCATACTGGAACACATAGACACGTATCCCTATTATTTTTTTCAGGGATCTTTTCCAGTGATATTGATGAAATACTCATATTAATAGGAGAATTACAAGTGTTAGAATCAATATATTGTAGACTTATTACATATAAGTTGTACATTGAAAGAAAAAACAGAAAAATAAAACATACAATGAAAGATAAGATTTTACATGATAGAGAATTCTAACTAATCTAAGTCGCTGAAGTCGATGTAACCAGGTACTTTTTCTCCGAGCATTTTTCGACATAGAAATTCTTTTATGATTCTGCGGTCTTTCATTTCACCATAAAGATCATTGTCCAACCAATATATTAGATAATAAAGATGTTCTATAGGACAAAGACCAAACTCATACACTCTCTGAAAGCTGTGTTCTCCTTCATAGTCAAGGAATATAAATCCAAACTCAGGCTTTAGATGCATAGTGCTGGGTACGTAAGGACCCTTCACTGGCAAAGAGAGGTTCAACATAGAGATGCCTGGCTTCTTTGAATGGTTCTAGACTTCATCCATAGAGAACTTTGTTTCATGTTCGTTCCTCAAAGTTGGTCCATTGTTAGGATCTGAAGGTTTTCTTCTTCCACCTTTCTTCAACATCAGCTTTGTAGGTACAACAACGAATTTGGACATCTTCTTGATCAGCACGCTGAGGATGTCTCCAATTATTTACTTGTACCTTGTCTTTGAGCACTGAATGGATTGGCGGATTTCCAGCCATTCACTATTGTCGTATTGTCCAAGGTGGGAAGAACACTCAGTAACAGCTTCAAGATTGTCTCTAGAGATGAGCATGGAGGTGAGAAGTCCACCATCTTTCATTCGTCCATTGATTGTGACGCTTGAGATTCGATGAGGAATTATTCTCCTATTTAGATGATCTTTGCTCTATTTTTTGTCTCATTCTTTCAGCTTCATTGCTTTTTCATGTTCAACTTCTGCAATTGAAAGCAATTTAGCTTGGGCCTTGACAGCGTTCACCATCTTTTTAGACGATTTGTTTGGAAGAACTTGAGAAGCAAGAGACTTGGCCAGCTTGAGGTTGTCCTCAGTCTGTTATCATTGAATTTTGAGTTCTTTCGTAGCCTAAGTGCTTCGAGTCTTTTAGCTTCAATACAGAAGTCAAACTCACCACAACTAGAGGTAAGAAAAGGAATTTTTACTCTAGTTTGGTCGAGTGACTCCTTAAGCTGAGTCATCTGTTGGTCGCTAGGAACACTAGAAGTTGGGTTTTCAGGTACTCATTCCTCTAGATGACCACAAGTAGTAGAAGGGATAGAAGAAGAGAGTTGACATAAGGAAGTGATGAACGCAAACCTAGAGGATTCAATATATTCTTGAGGTACGTCAGGTTTGAAGAGAACTTTCAGATTTCCTGCTTCAGCAACACCTTTGTCTTTGGAAGAGGTTTTCTGGTTCTTGGTGGTAGTCTCTTTCTCTTTTTCTTTCTATTTCTCCCCATGGGATGAAGAATCCCTACGAGAGACTTCGTTTAGAGCACTGGAAGGTTTGTTATATTGAATGGTGAAGTCATCGTCATCGTCGTCTTCATCATCTTCACCATCAAGATCTTTTCCAAAGTCAGGAAGGCATGGAGAGTCATCGTGATCTTCATCATCATCTTCACCTTCATCTTCCTCATCACCAGCATCAGTTGCGAAGGTGATATGAAGGTCTTCATCATGAGCTTCAGCGTCAGCTCTGACGACATCATCAACAACCTCTGCTTCAGCTTCATGGGAATTGATGGCATCATCAACAACCTCAACTTCATTAGTTTAAGCTCTTTGAGCATCAGATTCAGCTGTTGTTCAAGGGACAGCAGCAGCCAAGTCTTTCTCCCCCTCTTTATCATCAGCATGACGAGAGAAGAGGTTATCAAGACTCAGGGCTATAATGTCCATTTGTTGTTCAAGCATGGTCAGTGATCGAGCTTAAATAAAACTGACTTCGAGAGCCTGATCCAGCGATAGGCTATCCATAGCTATGAAGAAGGGTGTAGAAGCTGGCACTAGACATTGGAGAAGATCTAGTATCTACAACAACAACTCACCATGCTTGGTAAGCTGAACATTCACTTCATTGGCTTTGCTGTTGAGAGCAGAGATATCCTCAACAGTGGTGCATACATCAGCTTGTACCACAGAAAGCCATTCCTTCACGTCATTGACATCAGCTTTGACAACTGAGAGGTCAGAGGATGTCATCCCTGAGAGGCATGCATTTATGGACTTGATCCATTTTAATTAAGACAGTCTCTACGACTGGGAGAAGCAGCTTCATGTCATCAACCATGTTATAATCCTCTTCCATGGCTGGAGTTCCTTCATCGCAAGGACCTGAAAAACAAGATGGTTGAGTATAAGATACCTCATGGTAAGAAGAAATGAAGGGGTAGGTTGGAAGATTACCTAAGGGGTCATCAACACCATCTGAAGGATTGATGCTGGTTCTCTCCAAGTTTCCTTGGTGAGGATAGGCTTCCATTAATTGAGGTGTTTCGAGAGGAGCAACCTCAGGTCATGTGGTGAGTGTTTCATCATCAGTAAGGACAATCACTGATGAATCACGAGCACGTGTCAAAACCAATGAAGAAGGAGAAGAGAAGATGGCTGAGAGTGGTGGAAGTGGGTGTTCAAAAGTGGCTATGCTAATATACACACCTTCTGTTATTTGGGTCACTAAGGTGGTTGAGAGAGGAGCCACATGTACAACAGTAACAAAAGAAATCACTAAAGATATTGGAGGAGATAAACCCGAAGTTGCCTCGGGGTTAAGGTTGGTTTCAATGACTGGAACCTTTAGAGAGGTAACAACAAGATATGTGGTTATCCTCTTTTTGGCTTTCCTGGCCCTCGAGTGTTTTAAGAGGAAGATCTTTTAGAAGAGAGGGTGGTGGTTGTTTGGTAGACTTTGAGGGGTTTGCCTTAGTGTTGACCACCAAAGCAAGGGAAGAAGGACATACAGGCACAGTTGGAGAAGATGAAGAAGGATATCCAAGCACAGTTAGAAGGGAGGAGAGAGCAACATCTTCAACTTTCAGCTTATGATCCAAGATTCTGGATCCATGGTTGCATATGGGCAAGTTGCCTTCCACGGAGAACTTGTTGCTAAATATTTTAGCAAACACTAAAGATAAGAATCTGGTATAAGGTACCACTTTTTCCCTTTAGCGCTTGTTCAGCTTCAGCACCAAGTCTTCAAATATCATGCTGACAAAGTTGATTGGCCTTTGGCGAATGATGGAAACGCCAATATTCATCATAACTCTGGACGCTTGATGTTGTCCACCAGTTTTTCCTTCCACACACTAGATGAAATGGGAAAACAAAAACTGCCATACCGCTGACACATGCGGTTCTTCTCAATCTTTGATAGCGACTTGAGGGGATCGCTGGAATCCTTCTTTGTTGGCCAGGCATAGCCAATATCATCGAAGCATGAGATGATATCTTTAGTGTAAGGTTCACTAGCATAGGGACCTTTGGTAGATCGAAAGCGGTCCTCAGTGTGGCTACGCCAAAATTGATAGTCATTCTGTTAAAGGTGAAGGAGATTTTTTCTCCACCGGTTTACCAGTCTTGTCAGTCTCTTGAACTACTTCAACAGTAAGCCATAACTGCTGAAGAATTTCCTTCACCATGACTGGTTTATGGGAGATAGCGAAAGAGATTAGAGAGTTCTTGAGGAATGTAGCAACTTCCTCGTCATCAGATTTGTTGGCCGGAATGTCTAAAAGCGCGACACGATTGTTGGGCTTGAAAGACATTTCGTCAATCGAGAAATTCACCTTCTTGGCAGACATTTCTGTTATAAATAAAAGAAAATAAAGAATAACAGATCTATTAGAAATTTAAGAAACAAATGTAAACTATTAAGTTTTGAAATAATAGAACTTCTTTTGAAAAATCCATGAAGAAAATATTATGGTTTTTCAAGAAGAGTAACTGTATAGAAACTTTAGATTATAACCAAGTATAAGAATGTGTTAATAATCTTTATGTTAGTTGTTTAAGAGAACAAGATCTTAAATAACCTAACATGAGTATCTTAGAAGAAGAACATATCAAAATAAGAAAGAAGAGTTATCAACCTGTGATCTTAAAAGAAGAAGAAGGTTGAAGGATTTTGAGAGTTCTTTGGTTTTTGCTTGCAAAAGTTTTTCAGGCAGAGGTTCGACAAAAGTATTTGAAAGCGTAAGACAAAAATGAGAGGATAAGTCTCATATTTATAGATAGGAGAAGATAGAAATGGAAATAAGAGAGAGGAAAATACGACTTAAAAGTTCTTCAATGAGGAAGAAAATAACACGTTCTCAAACACGATTGGATTGAATTTCGAGGGGTTGCGTGTGTCAAAACGGTATGCACGTCTAAAAAATCGCATTGTTTAAACTAAAAAACGACGTCATAAGACGTTTCATTTTCCAATTCCTTTTAAACAAAATGTTTAAGATATTCAAAAACATCAGACAGAAAAATATGATTTTTTTTGAAAAGGTTCATTGATAAGAAATATCACTGAAAGAGAAAAGCTTCAGTGATGATTTGTTTTAAGAAAAGAAAAATATATCTTAGAGAGACTAGATGAGTACTCGGCAATACAGCGAGTCACATCTGGATTTTAATGTTCTATTTTACTATTTATTTTTGTCGATGTTATAATACAATTTTGTGTTTTTAAGAAAGCAACAATGATTTTATTTTTGAATAAAA